CACAAATCCCAAAGATAGTTTTAAATATCCAGCTTGAAGAGGAGAATAATCTAGTCCAGGTTTGAAGTGTCTAGGTGTAGTAGTTTTTAAACTAGAGTTGATTAAAGATGCGGAAAGTAGTGAAAAATTAAGTGGAATCGCCCTTTAGCTATTGGAAGCTGGAAACGATGTAATATCTGGAAGTAATCTGGCTAATGGCTCAAGGCTTCATCCTGACGTCTAAGCGTCAAATAAATGCAAATCAGTCTGATTAAAATAACAATACTAATGTGTGTGTTTAACTATAGGGGAAAAAAGATCCTCATAGCATCCTCAGTAAAATGCTTAGCTCCCCCTTAGCACCTGCAGAAAAACATTTCTGGAGCCGCCACTAGTCAGAACCATCCCTCCTGTCGTCCTACCATGGTCTTCAGGCCGAACTGGATCTTCATGTGTTTGATGGCGGGAACCAGTCCGGGCAGCAGGCGGTGCGTCGCGTCCAGGAACGCCATAACCGCCTCAAAGTTCTGAACGTCCCGGTTCATCACGATGGAGAGGGCCCGGGCAGAGAGGACCCGCAGCCGCCTCGGATCCTCCAAGTTCAGGGGCCGAAGGTCCGGCTCGGCCCGGCCGGAGACCACTGCGGAGACACGAGATGTTCTGATCAGGTTCTGCTGCAGTTCGGTCAACAGGAACCAAGTCCAATGGTGGCCAGCAGGGAACTTTGGATCAGATTGTTTCACCTTCTCCAGTCAAACATCTCGAACCTTCCAAAGTTCTTTTTTTTTTTTTTCCAGCTAATTTTGAATTAAACGCATCAGGATTTTCTAGCAGGTGTTTCTCCAGAAGTTATTCAGCTTCCTCCTTTAACAGATCGGTTCCGTCAGCTGGACCTACCTTGGTGAACCGCCATGATTCTGTAGATCAGCAGAAGAACCCTGGGTGGACCCGGCCCGGATCAGCTGCTCTCTGCTGGCAGCCCGACAGGTCCTCCAGCAGTCCGGCCTCCTCCACCTCCCGCGGGACATGCAGAGACATGTTCAGCATACTTCATAATCTGCTTGAATCTGGGTTTAAAAAACGAACTACTTCCGCTTCCAAGTCACCGCTTACCTTCAAAATAAAATCTCCTGAAGCCCAGAGAATTTATAATCAGTATAAATATCTAGGGAGAAAAATAATTTCAGTTAATTATATGATTAGTTGACACCAACATTTCCTTTGAGAACCATGACCGGCAGGAACAGAACAGGAGCCACAGTTTGTGAAACTTGGTTCAATATAGGCTTTTATTCTGAAGTGAATCGTACTGCTCATGCGTGGTAGACCAGGAAGTGATCATAGAGAGCGCCTCTCCTCTGTCCTGGCTTCTCCTTCCAGATCTGAGATATTTGTAGCTCGGGTAGCTTCAGCATCAGCGGACCTGCAGGTAACAGGAAGTCTATTAACCACTGACACGGAAATACGTCATTTATTTCAGACGAAAGCCGCGGCAGCGGTAATATTCAATAATACTTTGTGGAGTTGCTGGATAGGAGAGCATGTTTTAATGTACCAGACAGACCGGGCGGGCGGGGTTTAATGGTGTGCTTAGCTAAACTGGTGGTTTCTTATTAAATCAGAAATACATGTATCAGACATAACATTATGACCACTGACAGGTACAGTGACTGACGACCCTTCATCGTGGCTGCTGTAAATGAGCGGGCACGATTGGACTTAAGATAGGGGTAATCCCTGTCCTCTGATGTTCTGGCGTCCTGCGACTCTCAGCTGTCTCCCTTTTCCAACACAGCTGCATCACCTCCTCAGTGCAGTCAGGTTCTCCAGAGTCCTGCTAAACACCTCGTTATGTGACTCAGGTGTGTTGAACCAGAGACGCATCTAAAGGCTGCAGGCGTGGAGCTGCCCAGCCCTGGCTTAACATTCAGGCAGGTGGTCATAATGTTATGTCCGATCTGTGTAAACAGTGAGGTGGCCTTCAGAAGGTTCTGGTTCTGCTGAACATTTCCCATTTCTTCTTCTTCTGTGACTTTAACATCCATTTGTCCTGATCCATCCTGACCTCCAGCGTTGCCATGACCTCCAGCGCCACTCTGCTCACCTGGTCCAGATTCGGGTTCTGTGCGTCCAGAACCACCTCCTCCTCATGCAGAGTCCTGGTCCGACCCGCCTGCAGCCGCTCTTGGTCCAGCGGAGTTAAGGTGCGCTCCTACCTGCAGTACGTGAAGCGGAAGCTCCGCCCCCCTCCCACCCCCCCCTATAGCCACGTATGCCAGGTGGGCGACCCGGTCCTGCGCTGCCGGGCCGCCGCCGTTGACCCGGCGGCCATAGCGGGCCCAGAGATCCAGCGGGTTCTGGTAACCATGGTGACGGTGATGAGGAGGCTGCAGTGCGTGGGTCTGAGCGCACCGCAGGTGGGCGTGCCGCTCCGCATCCTGATGCTGGAGTATCCCTGGAACCTGTTTGAGGCGGTTCCGCCCGCGGCCCGGCAGGCCCTTGGCCTCTCCATCCAGCCGCTCCGGATCTTCCTGAACCCTGAGCTCCGGGTTCTGGACGGCAGCACGGTTCTGTCTCAGGAGGCCTGCGAGAGCGTCTCGGGCTTCTCTGCCGCCGTGCCGCGGTTCCGGTCCGTGGAAGTGTCAGGTACGTCTGGAAACCCGTCCAGAACCGGATCAGGATGATCTGCCAGTTCTGAAAACCCAGAAAGGTTCTGCTGGTTCAGGAGGAAATCAACCCATGATTTCTTCTTTAATGTAGCAAAGCATCAGAACCGATCAGGTAAGGAGGCTGGTTCTGATCGTTGAGCTCTACTGATGGGGTAGACTTATGGTATTTCTGTCTGGTGAAATGACCTTTGAACTCTATAAACGACCTGAACTTTAAGGAAAGAAATAATGGAGCATTCAAGGGTTCTGCTTCCTGTTTTCAGGCCTGAATGAGAACGGTCAAGAGGTCACCTGGCAGGCGAGCGGCTGGCCGGCCCGGATCCTGCAGCACGAGATGGACCACCTGGACGGAGTTCTGTTCCTGGACCGCATGGACTCCAGAACCTTCATCAACATAAACTGGCAGGAGCACAATGAGTAGCGCCAGCCGGCCCCGGGCACACGCAGCGCCGCATGGCGCAGAGCTGGACCTGGTTATGGTTCTGGTGAACCAAACCGGACAAATAAAATCTATTTAAGAGTAAATGAGCTGAATCTGATCTTCATCAGACTAAGCACAAAAGATGTTCTGGACTCAACCTGGTTCTGGTCCAGCTGGTACCGGAACGTTTCAGAACCAGAACTGAGAGCAGATACTGAGCAGAGGTCCAGGTTCTGGAATATAAAACCCCCTGATGGGTCCAAGGTTTTGTTGCCTTTCTTTGACAAACTGAACGTTTTTCATCAACAGGAACCAGAGTCATCAGAACCATCAGAACCGACTGTGTGGATCAGAAATAAAGGAATGTTTCTCTGATTTTCTGAGTTTTAATCTGATCTGAAACATTTTAGCAACGGAAATGTGAAACCAAGCAAGTTCTGCAACCTGAGGTTCTGCTGGTTCTTTACCTCTGTGCTGGTAGGGCCCGTCAACATTGGGCCCTGTCAGTCAGGTTCTGCCCGAGGCCCTGCATCGCCTTGGGCCGGCCCTGCCAGCCCAGATCCCATCAGCAGCGGCTTTGATGCGCCTGGTGGTACCGTGACAGTCTGGTTCCGGTTCTTTACATCAGGATGTCTGGTTCTGACCCACAGCGCTGGGACTGACTCATTCTGCTTGTAGTGAACTGGGCATTTAGTCCAGCTCTGGGGCAGAAAGATGAAATTGAAGCCAGAAGTTTCCTCTGGAGCCGAAGCATCTCTGCGTTTGGGGACGATGACCGTTTTCCTGCTATTGGAGGATAATTAGGAAAATAAACAGAAACGATTTTTCTAACTTAAACATCAGACGTACGGTTTTATTCACAAACAAGTGCATGTTGGGGGGGGGGAAACAAAATTCTTGCCTATAATTTGATAGAGGGTGCAGATCCGTCCCTCCATGTTCCCGGCCTCTGAACATGGAGGCTCTGACAATCGGTTCAGTTAGACCAAGTGCAGCCAGACTCATTAATTTGGCTAAATTATTTTTAGCTAAATACTGTTGAGAAGCACAAGCAGGCCTCCTGAGCACAGATTAAAAAAATACTCAAAAGGCAGAAGGAGCATCAAGGATAAAAGGGGAAGGGGCTCAAAGGGGCTTTATGATTAATATAAAACCAGACAGACGAACATTTTACTGCAGGAACGACAAAACAGGAACCGACAACAGAAACCTGGCAACCTGCAGGTAACAGAGTCATAGCAACGTGTTGCTCTCTCAGGCACTGAGGTTCGGCTCATTGAGCCGGAAGAGCAAGAAGTCCTCAGACGGAGGTGGACAGGTCGGTGGACAGGTGGAAGCTGCGTCCACAGACGCAGGTCAGCGGGTTCTTGTACCAGCAGTCCCTGCAGAACTCGTCGCCGCAGTAGAGACACAGGACGCGCGGCGTCCCGCAGCAGGACTTCCCGCAGGAACACGTCCCCAGGCGGCGGGTCCGGTGGGCCGAGCGGCACAGCCTACCCTCTACGCAGGCGCTGCCGTGGACGGCTCTGCAGGTGAGGCACAGTAGGTGAGGGTTGGCGCTGGCCGCTTCGCAGTGGTAGCTGATTGGCTGAAAGGCGGCCGTGTCCTCGGGGACAGCGTCTCGGGGACGCTCCACCCCTGTCTCCGGCCCCGTCTCTGGGACGCCGCTCGCCGGCTCCACCTGGTGGCGCTGCAGTCTGCACTCGGTCAAGCGGACGCAAGTGATGTCATGGAGGACACCGCAGTCCAGGCAGCGCTGGAGACTTAGCGGAGGCGCACTGAGACAGTCGCAGAGGTCATGGGGTCGCCCTCTGTCCGCCTCCAGCGGCGGGGGTACGACCGGACCAAACCTCCTGCTGCGGGGCGCCGCCACCGGCCCGTTACTGCGCCGCTGGCCACCAGGGGGCGCCGTGCTGTCCTCCCGGTACAGGTCCAGCTCTCCCTCTGCGTCCTCCGGGACGGATAGCAGCCGCTCAGCGTTGTCAACGGCAACCTGTCCACAGACAGACATCCAGCTTCAGTCGCTTCCAGTGGCAGAAGAAGAACCGGGCCTTCAGAACCAACCGGACCAGAACCAAACCCTGGCACAAGCTGAGCTCAGACACCTGCAGCAGGTCAAAGGTCAGACTCCTTTGATCTGCAATCCTCCATCTTTTCCAGACTTGGAGCTCCTAAATTATCGCTGACACAACAAAATGATTTGAAAATATAAACTGCTGCCTTCATTCTGCCAACACAAAAGACTTTAATGATAAATATTTCTCACAGGTTACTGAAAGTAGAGCAACGGGACCATCTTGTGACATAATCAGGGTAAGTCAAAACGGTCGAAGTGCGCGTGTATTCGCCATGTCTACCAGCAAATAATCGCTCCGTATTTTCATCATTTAAAAACTTTTTTGACTTTTGTGTGCAAGTCCCTGTAAAAATGAGACAAACGTATCCATGGTGAGGAAGCGGAAGGTCTGTAAATAACTTCATTAGCATTAGCCTAATTGTAAATAGTTTAAATAATAGAATATATTGCTGCTTTCTTTCTGCAGACATGAACACAGACAGAAATATTTAGTTATCAGAAGGAGACAGACGTTCAGATCCAAACCTTCACCATTTCTTCTTCCCAGAAACGTTTTAGTCATCGTCACTTCCTGAACTTTATGGATCAGAAAATAATAAATATGGCTGCCGGCTCCCTCCTCTTCATCACTCCATGTGGATTCTTCCTCCAAAAGTTGATCAGAGAAATCTCTGTGATCAACAGAATCCCTCCGCTTCTGTTACTCGGTCGTTTAAGGGTTGACTTACCTGATGACGTCACAAGATGGCGCCGCCATTTGACCCAGTTATTACTGAGAAAAACAACACTCCGTGGAATATATATGATTCTGTGATTAATATTTATTATTAAAAGCTTTTGTGTTCACAGAACAAATACAGCAGTTCATGTTTTCAGTCATGGAAGCGGTTTTATCGTGTCAGCGATATTTAAAGGGCCGGTTACGGTTTAGAACCACCTGGTCAGCCCCAGCTGAGGCTCCACCTGGAGGTTCTGAAGCAAACCGGGCTGAACTGGGTTAATGGTTCTGGAGAAACATCTGCTATAAATACTTTAATTGTTTTTCAGTTAAATGCTGAAATTCATGTTCAAGAAGAAGCTCCTGGAAGGGAATCAGAGTAAATAAAGAGGAGACCTGGAGACAAGGTGATGCATTAAAGCGGAGGTCAACGTTCAGCAGCCGTACCTGCAGCCGCTGGCCTTGTCGCCGCTCCCGCACCACGCCGAGCTCCCAGCGGGCGCCGCCACGCTTCCCCAGGGCGGCCAGCAGGAGGCGACACTCGCAGCGGGCCAGGAAGAAGGCGCAGGCCAGACGCAGCAGCTCCCGCGGCGACGCTGGGCCGCCGGCGGGCTGCAGGTGCAGTAACCGGGTCTGGGCCGGGCCGGGCCGGTACCCCAGCAGGCCGAAAACTTCCTCGGTCTGCGGCGCCGAAAGTACCGGAGCGACGCAGTGGGTGAAGGTACCGGAGTACATCTGGACCAAAGCAGATGAAACGCCACAGCTTTAAACGCTCAGGAGGTTTCATGCTAACTTTATGCTAACATTTTCTCAGTTTAGAAAATTCTCCATGACGTCCTGCGCCTTTAAGAACATCGGGCGCCCCCTAGAGGCAAGTGCAGCTTCACAAAACACAGCTCAAATGAATGAATCTACTTTTAGTTAAAGTACTTTAAATAAAACATGTAATTTAAAATGTTTTCACATTTGGGAGAAATCTGTTAAATTAGCAGATGTGGATCATTACAGATGAAAGCAAAGGAATCGTTTTAGGAATTGCTGTTTGCAGTTTGGCGCGTTTTGTTTTGTGCGATCTGAACAATAATTATTGTTAATAGACAGTAATTAATAGTAATTATTCTGTAACTAATGACTGCTGGTTTCCCGGTTTGTCAGTCGGCCGCTCCGGGTCCGGCGGTACCTTGATCACCCGGTACTCTTCCCTCCAGGGGCCCAGGTACAGGTTCAGCGCCGCCTGCTCCAGAACCTCAAAGGTCCGGGCCAGACCGCACAGACCCGAACTGGGCCGGGCCTCCAGAACCTCTTCCATCAGCCGCAGCGGCTCCAGGCCAAGGCCGTGCAGCTCCCGGGGGTCGGAGGTCGCCAGGAGGCCCTCCACCTCTGACCTCAACGCCTCATCCTGACAGGCCCGGCACGACCCCCGACCCAGGATCTGCTGCTCCAGAACCCGGTCGTACGCCTGGACCAGGTCCACACCGCGCATTTCTGAGGGACGAGAAGAACATCAGAACCAGAACCAAGACCAGGACCAGGTCCGGAGCCGGGACCAGAACTGGAACCGAGGTCGTGACCTCGTACAGGAAGCCAGGCGTTTCTTCTTCTTCTCCGATCTCGGAGCCCAGAGAGTGGACCTTCATCGTGAGGAAGAGGAGGATCGTGGCTTTAATATTCATCACTAACCAGTGATGAATCTGAAAAGTGTGGAGTGTTATTATAGCCCTCCTATCAGAGTCAGAACTCTGCAGAACCTCCTACAGGTCTGCGCGTCTTCAGCCGTCTTCCCACAGATTCCAATGCATTCAGGTCTAGACTTTGACTAGGCCGTTCCAACCCATGAATCAGCTCTGAACTGAACCAATTTCTGGCTGCTATAAGCTGAACTTTGACTTCAGACTCAGCTGAGTGTCTTGGTTATCTCTGCCCATCTTCCCACAGTAAGATGCTGCCACCACCATAATAAACATCTTAATTTATATTTTTAAGGTTTTTACTTGTGAAAATGATGAAAACTATGAAGCATTTTTCCCAACTTTTACAGTTTTAATCAGTGATGATGTCAGTTCCTGTCTCTCCAGTTCTCCGTCAGCTTTCATCAGAAGCAAGAAAATATATCCAGAAATAATAAAATGAGACAGGAACATTATAAACCAGAAGTGAAAGGTTAAATATAATCAAATGTGTAAAGTTATCATTGGCTTTGCTGTTAAAGTTTGTTTTTTGTGTTTTGGGGGAGAAAAGAGGCTTTTCTGTTGTTCAAACTACTTCTGCTGTTCTTTGAAGTAAAAATTGAATTTCAGAATCGGAAGCTAACTTCAGTGCCCCGAACTTGGCGCTGAAGTTAGTTTGTGTTTCAGGGTGCAGAAAAGGGCTATTTCCTGGTTTTTTTTTGTTTTGTTTTTTGTTTAGAATTTTTTTTTTTAAATCAGCTCCAGTGCAAAATAAGATTTTAAGAATAAAAACTTTAGTTTGTTGCATTTTTCCTTCTCTTTACTATGATGTATGTTGTGTTGTTTCTTTATTACTTTTTATCATTATTTTATGTAACTGCCAAAATCTGCCAATAAAGTTTGAGCTCAATTGAAACTTCAGCAGGAAACCTGAAGAAGGTTCTGACCGTCTAAGGGTTGGAAGAAATGAGTTCCTTTTTTGGACCGGGTCAGACAGAACCTGAAGCCACAGTGAATCCAGCCCAAATAAGCCCCGCTTATATCCGATTACATGATATAAAGTAGCAGGTAAGCAGTGAAATTCTGGTTATTTTTGTGTTATCATCAGAGGTCCAGATTGGATCAGAACCAGAACTGTGCTGCTATGGACCCACACTGCAGGTCCAACCCTGACGTAATGGCACCAAACTGAAACTGTTTTGTGTCTTTCAGAACCAACCAGTTGTTCTTCATTCCTTCATTCATAAACTGCAGCTAAAGGCAGCAGAATCAATGCAGATCAAGTTTAACTGGGACTGGACTGACTGGTCCCAGTTCAACTGGTCCCAGTTCTGCGGATTTAAAACTCAGCTCCGTTTATTTAATGTCTCACAAAAAATGTCTGTCCAGATAAAAGAAAACGTTTCCAAACCATAAACCATGTTTTCATGAATCTGAAGGATCGGTAGAATAGTTCGGTTCAGATTCGGTTCGGTTTTAAACTCTACATAATCAAAAGTAGACCTGATTCATTAAACTAGTGAAATAGCCCATTAATGAACCACCGAACCGGAAGCTAACTTCAGCGCCGTTTAAAGTTCTGAGGTTGATCCAAAGGAAAGTTCGGTCCTGTCCCGGACCCGCCCCGAATAAAAGCTCGGTTCTGGTCAACTCCAAAGGCGTTAATTCTGAGGTTCGCCACCACCCGGGCTTTCAGTAATTCTCAAAGCAAAACACATTTCTCCTTTTTCTCAAAGAAGTCTCGGTCCTGAACCAGCGCTGGCTCAAACACCAAGTGGAGGCGGACGGTTCGGACATGGGTCCAAACAGAAGAAGAAACAGAACCTCACCTGCAGCTGGACCTCTCAGATCTTCTTCTTCCTTTCTGTGTTAGATGATCGCAAGCGACTTATAGGTGTACAGCGCCACCTCCTGTTGATGAGTGGAACATCCTTCCACCCACCGGATTCAGTCTCTGAGTTTTATGTCATGGTTGTAAATGAATAAAGTTTATCTTTATTTCCTTTAGTTTTGTCAGGTTTTTGGTGGTAAAAACACATTAATTATATTTAAGGTAGCCACTGTGTGTGGGAGGAAGAGAAGGATGAGGATCAGGGGGAGGAGCCTCGTCCCCGATAAGCTAAACATTGTCACGTGTTCCGGGTATTTCCCAGCAGAGAGCGCTTCATATTTCCACCAGTCTGCCCCGCAGCTTCCACCTGTTGTTTTATATTTAAATATATGAAAATGAGGCCAATATTTGTGTTCAACCCCTTTAACTCTGTCACCACTAAATAAAAACCCAAAGTCTTCACTCTTTCAGATTTTTATTCTTTCCTTAGTTTGAGTCTGCAAGCTTCTACTTACCCAGAACCTGCTGCTGGTCCACCTGAATCCCCTGAGAGCCAACAAAGGTTAAAGGTCAGGTGAAGAGCTGTGTGAGTATGAATGCTTTAATGTGACATAAGGGGGGAAGGAAGACTAAACGAGATTTTACTTTAATATAAATGCGTAAACAAACCTTTATGTGACATTTCAAATAAAATAACCATGTTAATTAATACAAAGTAAACAGTAAGGATATAAACAGTGACATGTATAAAATACTGAGTAATTATAATAAAATTTGCACTGACATTAGCTCATATGTTGCAGAAATCTAAGCTTTCCTATCTGAAGTAAATTTCTTTATACAAGATCAGTCTAATCAAACAAGAGTACAAATAATATTAGTCAAGTAAAAGACTAATACTAAGTACAGTGCATTAAAATGATTCTTATAAGTACTTTCCCCAAATAAGTTACTAAAGTAAATGTAACCAGTACTACCCACTTTTGAACATAGATAAAATTAGTAGACTACTTTTGTTAACAAGCTTTAAAGATATATTGGCATTACCTAGTGACCATGTAGCTAACATTAGCTAGTCACATGTAGCTAACATTAGCTAGTCACCATGTAGCTAACATTAGCTAGTCACCATGTAGCTAACGTGATAATGATAAAATGATAATGTTGATCTTTTATAGGGCAGCTGTCGAGTGTATTCTGAGATATGGAGATATGGCATTACTGGATGGTTTGGAAATCTTACAGTTAAATTGAAAACTCAAATTCTAAGTCTGGTGAAAATGGCAAGTAAGATCATCAACACTCCAAATCTATCTTCTCCACAACAGCTGTTTGATCAGGCTACCATCCGCCAAGCTCAGAACATCCTGTCTGATGGGTCACATTGCATCAGAATATGTCCTCATGAATTCAGGGAGAAGGTTCAGGGTCCCCCTGTGCAAATACAAAAGTCTGAAACATTCATTTGTGCCTCTCTCCATTAACCTGATGAACCCTGGACAGAGTAATAGGAGATCCAGACGGTGATCAAGAGTAGCATGTAGAGGATGTATGTGGATGGAAATGGTTATGGGGATGAACTGGCAATCTGACATTTGTGCTTTTATTTATTTGTTGTTTTTATGTATTTATTTATGGTTACTGTCCTTTTGGATGAGCTTTTATTGTTGTATTGCAGTTTTGCCTGTTTCCAAGACAAATTTCTCCTATGGGAGACTAATAAAGTTATCTTACATTAGCTAGTCACCATGTGTAGCAGGTTCCAAATGGTCGCCAGAATGGTACACAGACACGAGAGGCAGAACTCTGGTCACTGCACGTTTAATGAACCTTTAAAAAAAGCAGCAAAAGGCACCAAAGGCACCAATCAGTGGACAGCGGCTACAGCTATCAACATAGAAATCTTCCCATGCAGCAGACGGCTCATCTCAACTGTATATTCATGGAACCGGGTTCTGCTTCACTCCACTGTACCAGGCCGGCCCAAGTAACCCTCAACTCTGCGGTGTGTAGTTTTTTAATAAAGACAAGGAGTTTCTGGGTGATCTACAGTTTATTTCCTGAATGAGAAAATATCGGGGATCGAATCAGTGCAACGGCTCAGTTTCAATCAGCTCATTACAACAGAGCGTTACGTTAGCTTTTAGCTTAGCACATGAAGTGTTTTATAGTATTAACAAAACTAAAAGAACAAAAATTGGTGCCTGGCACACATTTAGTAAATATTCATTACACTCTATTCGTCTTAGTTAATAAAAATGATGTTATGTGTGTTGCTAACACTTCTCTACACTGTGTGCTGAAAAATGCAACTGAACTCTTGTGCAGCTTTCACAGACTGGCACTGAGTGCAGGAGCCAGCAGCATATAACCAGCCACACCGAGAGGGGGCGCTATTTCCCCATTGCACTGATGCACATAAATCAAGTGGGACTCTACACAGGGGCGGATCTACTGGGGTGGCATGGGGTGGCAGTTGCCACCCCAAACGAGAGCCTCGCCACCCCTGTTGCCA